ATGACATTACCATCGCAATCTACCTGATGACTTTATATCCATGCTCAGATGCCAAGGAGCTCAGAAAGTAACCAACTGTGACTGGTAATAATCAGATATAGAGAGATTAGAAATGCATATGCAAACATCTTAGTGTCAATTGCATTAAAATTTGTTTCTGTATGAAACTGTGTATTTTAATAATGAATGCAGGTCTTTTTTAAAGGTTAAAAACCTCATTTAATTTTATGTCTTATAGGGTTTATCCTGAGTACAATATTTTATAACTATATTAATTCAACTGTAAACCTAAAAATTTACAGCCAATTTTGAAAGGGATGCATCTTAGCTCTGGAAATTGTTATTGAATATGTCAATGCTGTTGTAATGAAATGCTTCTTCTAATTATGTGGTTACTAAATAAATAATTTTTAAAAATTTAAAAAAGAAATGCAAAGCTAATTGCGGGGGTGAAACATGAAGTCAAAGGTGGCTTTCTCGAGTTTCATTGCTAGATTTGTTGACAACAGTATCCAATAAGATTCCTTCCAATGAAGTTCATGAGCATGTTTTATCCAATATCACTCTGCCAAATAGACAACCAAGGGTAGGATAATAACTAACTCCCTAAAGAACGAATCTCTGAACCAACTGGAAGATGAGGCTATAAAATATAAGCATTCAGTGCCTGTCTTGAAAATGAAAGAATGCAAATAGATGTGGTTGTATTCTTTACTCATTTAATTCTTGGCACCATAAAAGGACTCTTTGGTGATCACAGGTGATTTAAAATAAGTATTTGCTGAATTTCTTCATGAAACTGCTCATCATGGTAAAAACAACTTCATTTCTATGGGGCGCACTGGGCGCCAGGTGTGGGGTGCAGGGGTATCTGCTCCTGCGCTGCTTCCCTGAGTCTTCCGTGGCTCTCTGCTGCTGGGGGCTTTGCCCAGCCGTGTCCCGCCCTAATTTCACCCGTGCACTTTCCTCAAGATGCGAGTTCCACCGGCCGCTGGATCACGCGGGAGAGTGTGAGGGCAGCTAAAGCTGGGATCTGTGAGTCGGTGATGGAAAGACAGCTCTTCCCGGGAAGGCTGGATCGTAGGCAGTGAGACAAGACTCAGTTCAGTCAGATTCAGTATTATAACTCTTTATTCAATGGCTCTGCATGGCTCCAAGCCTCAGTGTCCCAGAGTGATCCAGCTCCTTCATTTATTGAGGGGAATCAGGGAACTTTATACCGTTGGGGTAGTGGTAAAAGCTTCAGCTGATAGGTACTTTGGGGATGCCTCATTTGCGTGTGGAAATGGGCTCCCGCCAGGCTGCCAAACTGCTTGAAAATCACACAGGAAAGCCTAATGGTTACAGAGCCGGCCATGTTTATGTGGCTGCTACTTCACAAAGGAGTCAGGAAAAATGCCAGGAAGACACCCTGCTGTGAAAGGAGTCTCTGCATATGGCTCCGAGCTCGTGAGCTATCCGGACATGAAGAAACTTCTACTTTACACAACAAAGGCCCCCAACACATTTCTATTTTAAATTAACATTGGTGATTTTCAGTTTTTAATGATGAAGTTACCTGATTGATGACCATGAAGAGCTCATTAAAGAAAATGCTGTGGGAAGGTGGCCTTGTTAGTGACAGAACTAAGTGTAGTGTATGAGTCTCTTGCAATACTTTAGTAAATCTGCATGCAGCATGGTCTAGTATTAGGGTAGAAATGTCTAAATGCAGAGGCCTTCCTGTAAGTGGCTCATAGAAGATAACCTGTGTATCCTCAAGGGAATGGACCATACGGTCATAAGAGCTAGTATTTGTTCTTTGACCCTTATCGAAATTTGTAGTAGCAGTCACATATTTATCAGGAAGGAGTAACACCTTATAAAGTTCTTTTATAACAGTTCTGATAAATTGTGTCCCTGAATCACTTCATACAGCAGTTATTATACCACACATTGGAGGCACAAAGTCAAGCAGATGGAGATTTTCAGCCAAGAATCATTCAACATTTCCTGAAAATAGATAAATCCAATCTCAAAGTGGTCAAAGATTCCTTAAGGATATGGTTCTTGATCATGCTCATCTTTACAAGTTTTATAGGACTATTTTATTCACAAGTAACTCATGACCTAGAAATAATCTTTAAGGTTTTTCCACCAATGTTGATTTAAAATAGAAATAAAGCTGTTTTTACCATGATGAACAGTTTCATGAAGAAATTCAACAAATACTCATTTAAAATCACCTGAGATCACCAATGGGTCATTTTATGGTAACAAAAATTAAAAGAGTAAAGAATACAACCACATCTATTTGCATTCTTTTATTTCCAAGAGAGGCACTTAATGCTTATAATTTATAGCCTCATCTTCCAGTTGGTACACAGATTCGTTCTTTAGGGAGTTAGTTATTAACTACCCTTGGTTAAGTCTATTTGGCAGATTGATATTCAAGAGCATCTCTTTCAAATTCCATCTTATCTCTTCAAGCATGGGCATCCTTCTAATAGCTGTCTCACCGGGAAGTAGGAGTGTATCTATGATTTTCTCAGTTTGGGGGTAAAGAAGATGACTCTGGTTAAGAATGCATACTGCTCTTGTCCAAGGTGATTCCTTCTCCAAGGGGCCAACTAATGCCCTTCTCAGGAATGTAGCAACTTGGAAGAGAACTTGGCATGCCTAAGGTCTTTGGAGAGCAAGGGATGTGTATTTCCTTTGCCTCACATTGGCTGCCTACATGCATGTTTGAAAAAAAAAGAAAGAATGAATACTGCTCTTATGTAGATGACCAGTTTTGGATTCCTAGCACCAGTGTCAAGCGGCTCACAGCCACCTGTAACTCCAGTTCCAGGGAAGCCAGTGATCACTTTTGGACTCTGTGGGCACTGCATTCATGTGCACAAACTCAGACACTGTGTTCCCCAGGGGTCCTGGTTCCTCCAAGGGGCTGGGTCTGCTATGGAGAGTTGACTATGGAGAGTTAGCCACAGAAGAAGGGGCTTGTGCCACCATCTTGGGATAAGAGCTGTGAGCCAACAGGAATACACAGTGGTGGGCCTGTGGGGAATGCTGCGGCAGACATGGAGAAGAGATGGCCCCAGTATCTCACCTGCATCGCGAGGGGGGCATTTATGGACCTGGAGTGAGACCGCTGGCCCCTGTGGCATGGGTGAAAGCTAGTGGTGACTAAGGGTGTGGTGCTGGAGGAATCTGGCATGGCTGGGCTCTGAGCCATGGCACAGAGCTGGGCAGCATAGAGCTGAGCGTGGAGCTAGGCACTGGGTGTTTGTTTCTTTGTAAGTCACTCCCCCCCCAACAATAATAATAAATGCACATAAAGATATGTTATGTGGTTTGCCTGATAGCACAAGAGACCCAGAGAGAACTCTGGCGACAAACTGGCGTAGTCTGGCCAGGATAAATGAACCACAGCCTTGGGGATGTGGGTCTAGGAAAGCAGTGCTGTCCCGCTGCCCCTGTGGCAGGTCAGCTGGGCTCTGATTCCCAAATCCAGGATCAGCTGCCAGGAACCCAGGGGAGAAGGCAATCAAATCCCATACACTTAATGGGGTTAGTGATAGTCAAGTGGGTTATAAAATGCATTATAAAATCTGTAACTAAAAAGAGGCCAGCCACGCAGAAGCATGGGCCACAGCTATGTTGTAAATGTGGAGGTATGTTGTGGGTATGTGAAGATTTGTTAACGGTTATCCAGAGGCTAGAAAATCTTTTACTGGCTCTGGACCCAAATGGAGCACCCAGAAAGGGGACATGGCCACTTTGCATAAAAAAAGCTATGCCCCAGGCATGGGAAGCTGAAAAAGCTATGGAAGGCAGACCCAGTTGCAGAGCTTGAGAGGAAAAAGAAAAAGTGGAACACTTTGACTTGTGTAAGGTCCATGGACTCAGAAGAAAAGACAGATAATAGTAAAAAAGAAAATGACCTAAAAATAAAAGTAGCTCAGGCTGTCCCTCAGATTCAACCATTGATACAAAAAGAAAAAAAAAGCTAACAGTGCTGTAGCTAGGAAATATTCCATGCTAAAACTGTTAAAACTAGGAAAAACTTATAAGCAAACAATCAGAGAGCCCCTAGCCATGTGGCTTGTGAGAGTATGGGACATGGGAGCAAATAATGTCGGTCTAAGTCCTTCAGAAGCTTCACAGCTTAGTTATATAACCAACTATCTGTCCTTGTGATATAGGCTGTGTTGGGGAAAAAAAAAAAGAAAAAGAAAAAAAAATTTGTAATACCTTGATGAATGCTGTAAGAACTCTGCATTTTGATAGAAAACTCTGTTTAAAATGTTGATTTAGATTTACTTGCTAAGCTTGCCTGTTCTGCCTGATTGTATCTACCACACATGGATGATTAACCTAGTTGAAATGCTAAGAATTGAAGTGCTGTAAACCTCCTTCCTGGACCCTGGACCC